TTGCTATACACCAACAATGAAGTGACAGAGAAATCAAGGAATCAATCCCATTTACAGTTGCACCAAAAACCATAAAATACCTAGGAATAAATCTAACCAAAGAGGTGAAAAATCTATACACTGAAAACTATAGAAAGCTTATGAAAGAAATTGAAGAAGACACAAAGAAATGGAAAAGGATTCCATGCTCCTGGATAGGAAGAACAAATATTGTTAAAATGTCGATACTACCCAAAGCAATCTACATATTCAATGCAATCCCTATCAAGTAACACCAGCATTCTTCACAGAGCTAGAACAAATAATCCTAAAATTTGTATGGAACCAGAAAAGACACCAAATAGCCAAAGCAATCTTGAAAAAGGAAACCAAAGCAGGAGGCATCACAATCCCAGACTTCAAGCTATACTACAAAGCTGTAATCATCAAGACAGTATGGTACTGGCACAAGAACAGACACTCAGATCAATGGAATAGAATAGAGAACCCAGAAATGGACCCACAAATGTATGGCCAACTAATCTTTGACAAAACAGGAAAGAATATCCAATGGAATAAAGGCAGTCTCTTCAGCAAGTGATGCTGGGAAAACTGGACAGCGACATGCAGAAGAATGAACCTGGACCACTTTCTTACACCATACACAAAAATAAACTCAAAATGGATGAAAAACCTCAATGTAAGACAGGAAACCATCAAAATCCTCAAGGAGAAAGCAGGCAAAAACCTCTTTGATCTTGCCCACAGCAACTTCTTACTCAATATGTCTCTGGAGGCAAGGGAAATAAAAGCAAAAATGAAGTACTGGGACCTCATCAAAATAAAAAGCTTCTGCACAGTGAAGGAAATAATCAGCAAAGCTAAAAGGCAACCGACAGAATGGGAGAAGATATTTGCAAATGACATATCAGATAAAGGGTTAGTATCCAAAATCTACAAAGAACTTATCAAACTCAACACCCAAAAACCAAATAATCCAATGAAGAAATGGGCAAAAGACATGAATAGACACTTCTCCAAAGTAGACATCCAGATGGCCAACCGACACATGAAAAAATGCTCAACATCACTCATCATCAGGGAAATACAAATCAAAACCACAATGAGATACCACTTTACACCTGTCAGAATGGCTAACATTAACAACTCAGGCAACAACAGATGTTAGCAAAGATGCGGAGAAAGAGGATCTCTCTGCATTGTTGGTGGCAATGCAAGCTGGTGCAGCCACTCTGGAAAACAGTATGGAGGGTCCTCAAAAAACTAAAAATAGAACTACCCTACAACCCAGCAATGGCACTACTAGGCATTTATCCACGGAATACAGGTGTGCTGTTTCGAAGGGACACATGCACCTCCATGTTTATAGCAGCACTATCAATAATAGCTAAAGTATGGAAAGAGCCCAAATGTCTCTCGATGGATGAATGGATAAAGAAGATGTAGTATATATATATACAATGGAGTCTTACTCAGCAATAAAAAAGAATGAAATCTTGCCATTTGCAACTACATGGATGGAACTAGAGGGTATTATGCTAAGTGAAATTAGTCAGAGAAAGACATGTCATATGACTTCACTCATATGAGGACTTTAAAACAGATGAACATAAGGGAAGGGAAATAAAAATAATATAAAAACAGGGAGGGGGACAAATCAGAAGAGACTCAAAAATATGGAGAACAAACAGAGGGTTGCTGGAGGGGTTGTGGGAGGGGGGATGGGCTAAATGGGTAAGGGGCACTAAGGAATCTACTCCTGAAATCATTGCTTCACTATATGCTAACTAATTTGGGTATAAATTTTAAAAAATAAAAAATAAAGTTAACAACAAAGATGTGGTATGTGTGTGTGTATATATATATATATATATATATATATATATATATACACAGACATACACACAGACACACACACACACACACACACACACACACACACACACACTGGGATATTACTCAGCAATCAAAAAGAATGAAATATTGCCATTTGCAACAACATGGATAGAACTAGAGTATATTGTGCTAAGCAAAATTAGAGAAAGACAAATATCATATAACTTTACCATATGTGAAATTTAAGATACAAAAAAGATCATGGGCATGTTAAGTAAGCAAACTAGTGGGGCTTGTTAGCAAACAAGCGTGGATGATAATATCTTAGAGATTAAAAATTGGAATCTGGACTTAGTGAGCTCATAAAATTATTTTCATGTCTAGGATCTTTGGCTTTACGAGTACTTACTTGAATTCAATTCAAGCCACGCTTAATGGTGTGCATATTTCATTGTTGTAAGTGACAACAAAACATTAATAGAAAGAACCTGGCAAGCTGGGTTATGTTTACATAGCAGAATCACATTCTTTACTTTTTATAACCAGCATAAATATTGATAGTCCTCTCAAATACAGCTAGGGTAACATGTAATTTTATTATCCATCCCTCTAAGACAAAAGTTCTGGTCCATTTCTTCAGTAGATGGGCTGTCTGCTCCTCAGTTATGTACCCCAGTGGTTCAGTTCTTCCCTATTATCACCATCACTCCTATTCTAATTTCTCTTATACTCATTCACACTAAAGTTTAAACGGGGAACTTCAGAATGGATACTGATTGCTGGGAGCTCTGGAAAGTACTGGATTCTCTGAATATTGGGAAGTGAGGGAAAGGTCAGGATCAAGTGGAATAAAGAGGACACATGTCATCATAAAACATAGATTTTTACACCCTCCTTCTGGGCATGGAAAATTCAAGCTAGATCCAATGGCTTTTGAATCACTGAAAATACAGCTTTCTGGGTTGTGTCGCTTGGGACCTCTGAGCATCTCTCTGAGCTCATGCCTCCTCTCCACATTTGTGGTTCATGCACCCAACCGATTATACTCTCTTTTCAGAGGTCTGAGCATCAGTTTGGCAGAAGGTCTCCTCCTGAGGTCTGGGCATCCGTCCTACAAGTTCCTTCCTTTGAGCTCCTAGGCTTTTTTGTTCTCTCTGGTTTCTTTCCTGCAATTAACTATCTGGGATCCCTTAGTACTTCCTTGTTACTCTTTAGCCTTCTGACATGTTTTCTAAACAATTCCCTTTGTTTGAAATTCCTGGTGTGGGTTCTGATTTCCACACTAGATCCTGATTGAAACAGAAGCCTAAAGAATTTGGGGGCCAGATGATAGGACTATTTAGATGCCATTTTATGGTGAGCCTCCCAAGAAAGGTATGTTGACTGATGCGTAATGGAGAGGCTCTTCAATTGGACAGAGGGGACCCAAGAGAGGTGACCTGGCTGAGCCTGGCTTTGAACACCAGTGTGCCTGAATTCATTTTCACACTGTCTCCTGGGGTGACAGATAAACTGGAAGCCAAAAATGATGGGTTTGATGTCTCCACAGGAAAGGACCATGTTCATCCAAGGCTAACAGGGAGATGGGGGTGAAAAGTATGAGAGGTTGAGCAAGAAGATTCCTTTCAGGGTTGGGAAAAGGGGCTCATGGAAGTGCTTGCCTAGCAGGTTCTATTTTAGCCCTTCCCCCAACCTCCCTGTAGCTAGGCAGTTAAATATGAAGTTGATTCCAGTCTGTCTTTTGAAATTCACCTCAGTCAAGTTAACTTGTGCCTCAGAAGGTTTTCATGCTTGATCTCAGCAGATGGGGTGTGGAGGTGGGAGTGGAGGCATAAAAAAACATGATACAAAAAAAATAATAATAGTAACTGTTACCATTAGTTGAGAACCTACAAATGTCCTACATTACTAGAACAGAGAGGGTGGGAGAGAAGTTGGGTTCTGGGGCTCTGCTGTTAGAGAAATCAGTGCCAACCATTTTAGTCCTTAGGCAGTTCTGGGTCCACTGCATTTTGGGGGCACCAGAGACCAGGTTTGCATCAGTTATGGGTGCACCACTCAGTACCTGTGGCTTCCCAAGGGGATGAGGTGCATCTCTGAGGGGCTGAAAGAGTATAGTAGGCTTTCAGCTTAACCTTTCTTTCAGGGGTGGCCTGAGGTGGTTCAGGCATGGTTGGATGAGTGGGAATGCCATGTGGGAACCCTGACTAAAGCACACAGCTAATTTTGCAATCACAAGACTCCCTTAGTGGAACTGTAAAGGGCAAGCTTGATTGCCCCAGCAGATGGACTTGCCTTGTGGAGGGCCTGGCATTCCAGGTGTAGCCCAAGTGACAAGGCAGGAGAATTGAGCTCCGGGGAAGTCCCGCAGTCTCCCCTTGCTGAGCAGCCTGGGGTCTGTCATCAACTCTATTTCCCCGTAGGTGTGGCTCGGTGCCTCCTTCTCAAGGAGCTCAGGCTGGTCACACTCATGCTGATGCTGTGATTTCTTCATCTGAGTCTCACAGGATCTTCTGGCATATGATTGCCACACCCCACCCAGCCAGGTGGGACCTCCCCATACTTCCCAAATAAATGACAGTCTCGGTCACTGCTCTTGGGAGCTATTTGAGCTGTGATTCAGTCCCCTGCACTTTCGATAAAGGTCCTTCCTTGCCCGCTGATAGCTGGCAAGTTCTCCAGCTCTTCTTTGTGCTTTAGGGCTCAGAGAAGAGATGCGGCCATGCCGGGCTCAGTCCAGCGCGGGGTCAGTGGTTTCCGGGAGTTACTAGGATCTTGGCAGAGATGCCCTGGCCTGGGGCCGCCCCCCCTGCTCCCAGACAGAAGCAGTTGCCGATGGAAGGGAAGGAGGAGGGATGCGGGCATCAGGTGGCGGTGGCTTTTTAAGGTCAAAAGTCACGCCTGGCTCAGGACCTCTAGGGAGAGATTCTGTCACTGGCTGGATCTTTGGGTGGAGTAAACTCTGCGCCATGTCCCCCTCCCTGACACCACCTTGAAGTTTTGTCTCAGGAGGTGGCTCAGATTTTCTGACTAGGGCTTTGTGTCAGGCCAGGCTTCCAGGCCAGCTCCCTATCCACAATGGGGACCTCAGTAACTAGTGTCCTGGAAAGGTCTTAGGAATGTCTCCTGACCGACCCTTCTGTCTCCTATTGCTGTCCCCGCAGGTGTGGAGACAATCCCATTATGACATGCATTCGAGGAGTCCCTTTCTGTGGAGAACCCTATACAGCAGGTGATGTTGAGATGGGGCTCTGTACCCACGCCTGTGCCCACACCTGTCTCTTCTGGATGCCCCAGCATTCTCTGCCCCTCTTTGTGCATGGCCCTTCCCACCCGGTGCTGTCCATCTTCCACTGGATGGTGGGCTTCCACGGGGTGGGGAGTGGTGCTTATTCTCTGCTCTAGCTCCAGACCCAGCACTGAGCCAAGCACAGAGTAGGCATCAGAAGGAGTACGTGGGCCTTGACTGTACTGTGGGACAGGTTATCCTCTTAGACCAGCTTCAGCCCTGGCCCTCCTCACCACCACCTGTAGCTTTCCTGGAAAGAAGGGCTGGGCTGAGGGTCACGAGATCGCTGCCAGTTTTGGTGTGTAAACCCTGAGCCTTCCTTCCCGAAGGGCCTAGCGTCTAGTAAAGTGGCCTAATTAGAATGTTTCCTCATTATTCTTTTCTATTTGAACCGTAGTGAATAAACCTCAGACCGGGGAGGTCTCTGACTTGAATCAGCAGGTGTGGATCCTGCAGGATCAGACCATTGTGACAGTTCCACGGACTGACAGTGTGACTCCAGGTGAGTGGTCATCCTGTGGCTGCTGCCTTGGAGGCAAGGGAGGCGTCATGTTAGCACATATGGGATGCTGGCACTGGCCTTGTGTTCAAAGGCAGCTTTACAAAAGGGTCCACATGGAGGGGGGAGACTCCCCCACCTGCCTGGGAAGGGGTGTCCTGGGGAGCCGGAGAGCTGCTTTCAGTGACCTGATGGCCTGTTACATGGAAGAGAAGTATCTTATTCTGCCTGACTTCTGGGTATCCTAAAAGGACTCAATGGGTGGGTAACCATGGGAAGGCAGGTTTCAACATCACATGAGGCCAAACTTGCTAATGGACGGAAGTCTTCAAGGAGCAGAGGGGCTGCTTGGGGTTGGAGTTTCCCACCTCCAGGTGGTCCAGCAGGGGCTGCCATCTGTTTAGCTCTTCACGTTTGCTCCATTTCCTAGGGCAGTGACTGGTGCATGGTGTGAGTGAATGAATGAATGAACAAATGTCGTGGTTGGCGTTTTGGTGGGCCTGGGGTAGCAGGGATTGCACTCAAGGTTTCTTCCTGCCCCACCTGGGTGATGCTGGCCTCGTCCTGATTTCAAGAGGAAACTGACACTATCTTCCCTTTTGTCCTTCTTAGTCACTGTCACTGTTGTCCCATGCAAGTATCCAGAGTATCTTGAGCAAGGCAGAGGGATTCCCATTTATATGGGAATAGAGAATCCAGAAATGTGTCTGTCTTGTGAGGACATAGGAGGGCAGCCCACATTGCAACTGAAGGTGAGTAAGAAAAATAATGTTATTAAAAAAATATACCAGTTTCTTTCTTCCTTCCTCCCTTCCTTCCTTCTTTTCTCCCTTCCTTCCTCCCTTTCTCCCTCTCTCCCTCCCTCCCTTCCTTCCTTCCTTCCTTCCTTCCTTCCTTCCTTCCCTCCTTCCTTCCCTCCTTTTTCTTTCTTTCTTTCTTTCTTTCTTTCTTTCTTTCTTTCTTTCTTTCTTTCTTCCTTCCTTTCAGAGAGAGCAGGGAAGGGCAGAGAGAGAGAGGGAGAGAGAATCCCAAGCATGCTCCGTGCTGCAGTGAGGAGCCTGACATGGGGCTCTCCACCTCACGAGCCATGAGGTCATGACCTAAGCCAAAATCAAGAGTCAGACCAGATGCTCAACCAACTGAGCCACCCAGGTGCCCCAAAAGGCCAGTTTCTTTTTTTTTTTTTTTTAACTTTTGCATTTTTTTAAATTTATATATGAAATTTATTGTCAAATTGGTTTCCATACAACACCCAGTGCTCATCCCAAAAGGTGCCCTCCTCAATACCCATCACCCACCCTCTCCTCCCTCCCACCCCCCATCAACCCTCAGTTTGCTCTCAGTTCTCAACAGTCTCTTATGCTTTGGCTCTCTCCCACTCTAACCTCTTTTTTTTTTTTTTTTTCCTTCCCCTCCCCCATGGGTTCCTGTTGAGTTTCTCAGGATCCACATAAGAGTGAAACCATATGGTATCTGTCTTTCTCTGTATGGCTTATTTCACTTAGCATCACACTCTCCAGTTCCATCCACGTTGCTACAAAAGGCCATATTTCATTTTTTCTCATTGCCACGTAGTATTCCATAGTGTATATAAACCACAATTTCTTTATCCATTCATCAGTTGATGGACATTTAGGCTCTTTCCATAATTTGGCTATTGTTGAGAGTGCTGCTATGAACATTGGGGTACAAGTGCCCCTATGCATCAGTATTCCTGTGTCCCTTGGATAAATTCCTAGCAGTGCTATTGCTGGGTCATAGGGTAGGTCTATTTTTAATTTTCTGAGGAACCTCCACACTGCTTTCCAGAGCGGCTGCACCAATTTGCATTCCCACCAACAGTGCAAGAGGGTTCCCGTTTCTCCAAGGCCAGTTTCTTTTATGAGATATTTATTTGGTAGATAATCTAGTTTTAGAAGTAAAAAAAGAAATATTCTCCGTTCTTAAACATATTTATTCCTAGATATTTTTGAGTTATCTGCATGCAGTTGCGTTATCCTGCACATCACTAGTTGAGGATCTTTGTCTTTCTTGTATTTTAAGATATTGTCTACCATTGTTTCAAGTATATTCTCTCCTTCATTCTGGCTTCTCTTTCCTTCCTTTTGGAATGCCTATTCCTTAGTCATTGGAACATCTAGATCTCTCTTCAGTATCTCATCTTATTTTCCATACTTTCTATCCTTTCACTGTTTTGTTTTTTTCTTGTTGCACCCTGGGAGAATATCTTGGTTTAATCTTCCAGGTCATGATTACATTTTAAGTTTGTCCTGTCTGCTTCCTCATTCTCCTATTCAGTTTTCTGAGATTTCAGTCTTTCCTCTTGTTCCTTAAACTTCAGTTTAGTTCGACTCAATTTCATTTCATCCAGTCCCATTAGCTCAGTAAATGTGTAGGTTTTTAGTGGCACAGCACCGTTGTGGCCATTTGAGATATATTGGTGCCCAGAATGGCACAGAGCCCTGCCCTCAGAGGGCGTGGATTCTAGCGGGAGGAGAGAAGTGGTAGACAGTAAGTGTAATGGGTAAGTCTGTGGTGTCTTTAAGGGTGTTATGTCCCGTGGGAAAGCACAGTTAGAACAGGCTAAAGAGACTGGCAGTGCCAGCCCAGGTGGAGTTGGGCTGCCGTAGAAAATAGTGCAGTCGGCATCATCAGATCTTAGCAGACAGTAGAAGGCAAGAAGAGAGTTAGCCAACAGGTGTGAGTGGGAGCAAGTTTAAGAATTAGCAGAGAGAACAGTGTGACAGGAGTGAACTAAGTGGGGAGGAGTTCAGAGAGATAAAAAGGCAGGACACAAAGGGCCTGGCCAGCATTTGTGAGGACTTTGCCTTTCCATCTGAGTAAGATGGGGCATTATTAGAATGTTTTGAGTAGAAGAGTCCCATGCATGAACATAGGTTTGAAAAGAATTATTTTGGCTGCCAGTTGAAAGCAGACTGTGGGGGGGGGGGTGGGGGCGGGGACCAGGGTAAAAGTCCTGTGGGGGGACTTCGAGGTGATCTAGGGGAGATTTGATGGACGCAAGTGGGTAGCAGTGGAGGCAGGCAGAAGCCAGTCAGACTCTGAAAATATTTTATTTAAATTGAGGCAAGAGGACTTGCTGACAGAGTGAATGCTGGGTGTGATGAAAGAGGACTGAGAATTACATTTTCACCTATGTCCTGTCTGCTAAGCCACCCTTCTATTGCAATTTTGTCTACTGTGGTTTTCGATGGATTGAGAATTGACCGTTTCATTCTGCCACATGTGGGTGCTTAGGGACCCTGGTGCCAGCAGTGTTGCTGCAGTGCTGGAGGTGAACGCCCAGACCGAGGGGTTTAAGAGTGGGACAGGAGGAGAGAAACTAGAGACAGCCTATATAGACAACTGTTACAGAGAGTTTTCTGCAAAGGGGGAGTTGGGAAAGGTGGTGGGCAAGCGAGATCATTATTTAAGATAGTAGAATGGCAGCGAATGTGCTAATGGAAATGACGGAGAGAACGCAAACACGAATGGCCGGAAGAGGAACAGCAGTAAGCTGGGGAGGGCAGCTGGGGACTTGCCGCCCAGTCCTTCCCAGGTGGGAGGTTGAAAAGGAGGATGGAGGAGGTGGTGTCAGAGTTTGAAATGAGCAAGTGTCTTTTTATTTATTAAACAGCCAACACATCTCTATTGAATTTCTGTGTGTTGGGATATACAGTGATGAACAAGTCTAGCAATAATTATATGATTGATGGATATTCTAAGTTCAGATGGTAATGAGATAGGGAGGAGGTCCAAATGTGGACAAATTATGGACCATCCCTGTGTAGTGTCTCTCTGGAGATCTTGTGTGTGCATAATTTTGCTAAAAATACTTCAATGCACAGTATATAAATACACAAAATGTACTTCTACATATGATATAGAAAGCATTTTCTGATTGCTCTGTTTACTTGGTTTGTTTGTTTGTTTAAATACAAATCCTTTGGTTTGTTAGACCCTCTTGTGTCTTTTTTGTGGCACTGACATTCCTCGAGTGTTGGCAGCTGGTCAGAGGCTAATACTGGAACTTTTGTTAGAAGACTGGTTTTGCAAGGTGGCGGCCCTCAACTGTTGCAGCTTTGGTAGGGGAGGTCCTTGGTTTATTGCCGCAGATCTGCAGCTCCTTCTTTTCCCCCCATCAGCCTCTTGTGTGAGATGAGTTCCAATGCATTGTTGGAGTGTGCCCACTGTTCATTAACCTTTCTTTGTGCCATTCCTACTCCATCTCTGGATTTGAGGAAAGGGACCGAGAAGGTGAGATTCCGTGCTCACTCTGCTGCTCCTTTGAAATGTGTTTTAATAGAGGGATAAGGCTTTCTCTAACTTTGGAACATTTATTGATTGTGCACAAGTAACTCTGAACCGCTAACAGCCTCTGCTTCTCCTGCTGGGCGTTCTCTGTCACGTTTCAGGAGGAGGAGATACTGGATCTGTACAACGAAGTCGCGCCCGTGGAGCCCTTCCTCTTCTACCACTCAAAAGATGGCAGGACCTCCACCTTCGAGTCCGTGGCGTTCCCTGGCTGGTTCATCGCCTCCTCTGAGATCCGCCATCCCCTCTTCCTCACTTCAGACCTGGGGGGAAAGAACAATGTTAACTTCAATTTAAGTATCAATGCTTGACCTCAGCCTGGAGGGGGCAGCTTGGTCAGAGGTCTTTGTTAAATTTCCTAGTTCCCAGCATGCTTTCATTTATATTCTCTCCGTGTCATTTCACTCAGTGCTGAGAGGTGGGCAGGACCTTGTTATCATCACACTTTGTGAATGACTTCAGGGCACCCGAGGCGTAGAATGTGAGCTCAGACATGGGGGGAGGGGTCATGTAAAGTTCTCCTCTCAAGCTGAAGTTGTCCATCCCACAGCCATCTGTATGAGGGTGTCTGGACCCCAAGACATTAGTGCCTTCTCTGTGGGTGGATACAGAGAAGCGTCAGAGCTCATGATCTGGTGACTAGTGTGGAACTGATTCGTTTTGTTTTCTTTCCTATTTAGATTACATTTTCCATATGCTTTGTATGTTGCCAGTATATTTCACGTTGTATAATGTATCCTTTTAAGGGTTAAGGAACGTTTAAAGGTAAATAATTCTTAACAATAGTTAAACTATTTTTTTCCTAATTCTAATATGTAAACATAAAGCCAAATATAAACTTCATGTGTTTACACAACAGAAAAGCTAAAACTAAGCTGTAAAATGAAGTAGAAAACGTAGTAAACTGAAATTAGCGAGAGTAATTGAATGAGGATAGCTCACTGGGGTTTCACTGGGGAAAGAAGGACCCCTATCAGTGGTGACAGTCCAGGGTGGAGATAATGCATGTAAAAGAACACTACTATATGACTATTTTCTGTACAGTCTCACAGCCTTGATTTCTTTGCCTCTTCTAGACTTTTCCTTTTAGGCATCCACAAGATCTCTTTAAAAATAGCAGTAAAGGTGATGACAGAGCCTAAGGCAGGGCAAACTACAAGCTAGCACACTGCCCCCACTCCCCCAGGTGGCATATGTGGGACATTCCTCAGGCACTGCTGGCTGCCCAGGGACAAAGGAGAGGAAATAAACAAGTAGCTAACTGATAGAGATCACAGTCATGCAGGACCAGAGTCTCCCTCAGTTCGCAAATATCTTAGTAAATTTCAAGAAAAAGTCAATCTTATCAAATAGCCTAATCTCCAGAAACCTGTAGAATCAGTTTGCTGGAGCCCCAACGTCACCCTTCCATAGTGATATAGGGAACAAAGGCAAGAAGGAAATGGCAGGTAAAATTAAGTGCCCGTATAACCTGCGGCCCATTGACAAATGCTTGAGGCAAATACAGTGTACCACGTATCTCCAGGAACCCCCTACCGTCCTAATGTTAATGCCTTACTAGAGGAAAACCAACCTTAGCTTGATAATAGCAAGGCCTCAGGTATCTTAGGAGTCCTCTTTAGCATATCATAGAAATGCTCCAGAGGGATCATAGTCCCTCTGGAGGACTTCCTTTTGTCTTTACCTCCCCCAGTGCCATAGTGTTCACAACCACAGTGCAGCTCTTCCTGCCCACAGGTCCTGTCCGCCTGCCTTAATATCACCTTTTTGCACCAAAGACGTCTTCAAGAATTCTTTCTTGGCCATCAGCTATGAGCCCCACCATCCCCACCATCACCCCAAAACTTCATCAAAGGTGCCTTTTCTTGGAACAGAGAGCCTAGCTTTCCCACCGGTCATGCTTCAGATGATGTATCCTGATGAAATTAAATCACTGTGGGTACAATTGTAGAAAGATGTAGCTACATCTGGTTTGTATATAACAGATTTCTTATTTTGACTCTGATACTACAGACACAGGAAGTTCTGTTTGCTTAAATACAATTTCCAAAATAGCGCCAGTCACTTACTTTTTTTTTTTTTTCTTCCTACTTTTGGACAATCAGACCACATACTCTACTAAGCAGGCCAGTAAGCAATCAGTAAGCCCCGATTTAATGCAACATCTCTTGATTCTTTGAAGTTTTCTTCCTCAATTAAATATAGTTTTAGCATTGCAGTTTTATTAAAAAACAGCATTAAAATGGGCACTGAGGTAATTAGTTCTGGGATATTAAATAGGAGAATTGGTTATTGAATATTTACTACTATACTCACTGCTCATAAATGGTGATAGCTTCTTATATCTGACCATTTACATTGTTACACTGTCAGTTGTTACATCTGCCAGTTGGGATCCAATAACACATTTGCTTGTGACGTGATTATCGTCTGAGCGTTACAGCACCTCCATCCTCCTACACGCTGTGTGGTGATTCCATTGTCCCATCTCTTTACCACGAAAACTGCATGCAGGTGCTGTGACACTTTGGATTGTCACTTAGCACAGATTTGAGCTCAAACAAAAGCTCAAATATGAGTCCTGGTGTCATGTAACTGGTTATCCTGATGGTCCAGAAGAGGTTCTGATAACATATTTAGAGTGTAATCAAAATGAAAACATAGTAATCTCTAGCTTGTGGAGCCTGGAGAGCAGACCCCCCCCCCCCCCCCGCTTATCCATCACGTTTGTGAAAGACCACAGCATATGAAATCATAGAAAGGACCCTATGAGTAGCAACGTCCTCGTTTTCAGGTGAACACCTGTTTTTCACACATCTGAATATCCAATGCTCTTGCATTTGGGTTCCGTGAGCTCCAGGCCAACACTCACTGAAGGATTTGGTTCTTTTGCATCTTTGGTATGAAGGGCTTGATGCCCTGTGTTGGGGGAGGTCATTGAGAGGATGTGACCACCAGCTGACCCATGAGCTGGACCCTGGCAGCTGGAGGCTCCTCACCCCCCAAGGACATAGCCTTGAGGCAGTGTAGTGATGTGATGTTGAGACATCTGGACAGTGCCTGTGGCTGAACCCAGTTAAAGCTTCTATATAAATTTTTAATATTCTAGTGGGTGGGTATGGAAATGTACTCATCTTACAGCTGCCCCAAAACAAGCATCATATATAAATTCCCTTGCTTATTAAACTTGCCACCTACAGATCTGGGGTGAATTACTTCTTTCTTAGGTCTCAATCCTGACCTACCCATATGAGGACTGGTTTCAGATTACACTGGGAAGCTCCTGAGAAGGTGTAATCTAAGAGATTGCACTGAGAGAGGGGATTTTGGATTCCAGGAAGGAATTTAGAACCTTGCCACCAAAATCACAATTGCAGTGAAAACAGTTGAGTGGGATGTTTTTCTGCTGAGCTGCTTTGGGGCTTGTATCTTCCGGCACCAGGATGGCTGAAGGGCAAAGACCACTTCCTGAAGCTGGACTTGAAGATACTGTCCCTGAACTCACAAACGATTGGGCACAGGGACTAAAGACGCTGTCCCCGGGACACTGAGAACAGTGGCTATAATTAATGATCCTCATGTCAATAAAACATTACTTTTTATTTCTCAGCCTTTAAAGAGTTGTTTAAAAGGAGATTCTTACCAAAGCAATACATGTCTATGATTGAAAACAATATCCTGCCCCGATCATATTTCCATGAGGCAACTGCTAAGTCTTTTTCAGCTCTTTTTCCTCCATGTGTCTAGGTATATGTTTTACTCCTATTTCTTGAATTACCAACTTTAGACATTATCTTTTCTTTTTTTAAAAAAAGTTTTATTTAATTATGAGAGAGAGAGAGTGAGCACAAGTGGGAGAAGAGCAGAGAGAAAGAGGGAGACACAGAATCTGAAGCAGGCTTCAGGCTCTGAGCGCTCAGCACAGAGCCTGATGCAGGGTTTGAACCCACGAACTGAGAGATCATGACCTGAGCCAAAAACGGATGCTCAACTGACTGAGCCACCCAGGTGCCTGAGACATTATCTTTTTTACCAGGCAGATGGCATTTGCATCCCTACTATACAAAAATCATGTGCTCTTTATCTATTTGCTAAAGTTAATAGAAGTAGTAAGTCAAACAAAATATATTTATAGAGAGTTAGATAAACTTTGGGTGGTCCTGTTAGACAATGCTCTGGTATGACATTGGAAAGGCACACAATAATCCTTTCGCCTTTTTCAGAATTTGGATAACTTCTCTGAATGATATAATTTTCCTTCAGCCTTTTCTTTTTAGGGGTAAGGAATGTGGGGGGAGGTACATGGAGTGGAAGCGACTTGCAGTGACCATTAGTAGTAGGTTTGGAAATGTGATACTCTTGATTTCAATTTCCATCTCCTGGTGTTGGGGTGTTATGAAGCACTGTTTGAGAAATTAGCAACAATTACCCAAAGCAAGACAGCAGAATAAAGTATGATCCCCCTTGTTCCCATCATTGGGGCTGTCTAGCAGGGTGTCAGCAGATGACCCACCCAGGGTGGAACATTCCTGGCCACCTAAACATTGTTATGTAATGGTGTAAGTGCTGAAATATATTGTGTATCTATATTTCTCAAACTTGAAGTAATATCAGAATCATCCGGGGTCTGAACTACAAGCTCAGGTGTTTGGGCTCACTCTGGACCCAGTAAATTAAAACCTATTCCCTGCATAATTCCTACTTAGTAGGTTTAGAGCAGGGCTGAAGAATCAATATTTTACTAATGACCTTAGGGAATAGAATGCACTCCCACTGTTCACATGCCCACAGGGCAGCTGAAGACAAAGCCTGGCTAAGGTCAACTAGCAGAGTGATTTTATTTGCTTGGGTAGCCAGTGACTCTTCTGTGGTTGATGCCTTCTGACGGACATTAACAAAAAAATACAAACATCTTCGCATTTTGTGCGCATTCCCATATGTCCATCCACATGTCTTTACTCTATATCTCTTTATCTTTTAGTCTTCTGATCAGTGAGCAGGCATTGACCACTGCCCAAGAATCTATGTGTATTGTCCTTTTGGGACATTGTTTTTTTGTTTCGTTTTTTGGGGACATTTTGTATTTTGTTTTGTTGTCTACTTGTGTGTTCTTGCAGTTCACTGAATTTCTTTAAGAGGGTTATTCAGAGTTCTTTGTCAGACCATTTTTCTCCATTTCTTTAGGGTCAGTCATTGGAACTATATTAACTTTCCTTGGCGATATCATGTTTCCTTGATTATTTGTGATCCTTGTGGCCTTTATTGGTGTCTGTGCATTTAAGGAAGTAGGCACTTCTTTCAGTCTTGGCAGGCTGGCTTTGGAAGGGAAAGCCCTATACCAGGCAGCTTGTCCAAAGATTCTGCGTGGGCTTGTTCTGAAGTCCTCAGACAGGCAGGTCTGGTGCCTGGATCAGCAGGTGGGTAGACCTGGTGCTTGGGTCCATAGGGGCCGGTTGGTGTCTGGGTTCACTGGGACAGGCCCAGTTCCTGTCTGTGGTGGTGGGCCTGGGACCCGGGTCTATGTGGATGGGCCTGGTGTCTGGGTCCATAGGAGCTGGCCTGGAAGCTGAGACATGGAGGCCACCCTAGCAGTTGGGCAAGCCTGAGCCTGGGGCCATGGGAATCAGCCTGTAGCCTGTAGCTGCAGGGGCCATGAAGGACCACTCGAACCCATGGGGGCTGGCTTGGAGGCTAGGGCCCAGGGAAATGTCTGGAGACTGGAGCTCTAGGGACCAACCTGGTGCTGGAGTGGGCTGGGAGCCTGCATCCATGGGAGCCCATGTGGAGCGTAGGTTTATGGGGGGGAGCCTGTCTAAAGCCTGAGGCAATGGGGCTGGCCTGGTGCTAGGGTGAACAGGTGGCCTGGATCCACAGGAGACTGCTTGGACCTTGGCCAATGGTAGCAGCGTGGCACAGGGGCAGGCCAGGACCCTCCTTCCATGGGAACTTATTTGGGGTCTAGGTCTGTGAAGGCTGGCCTGGGTGCTGAGGCAGGCTGGTAGCCTGGGTCCATGAGAGTGAGCCTGATACTAGGGAGGGCCAGGAGTCTGGATTTGCAGGAAGTTGCCTGGAGCCTGGGTTTGTGGGGGGTCTTCCCAGTGCTGGAGTGGACAGGTAGCCTGGGTTTGTTGGAGCCCACCAGAAATCTGGGGCATGGTAACTTGGCCTGGTACCAGAGTAGGCCAAGAGCCTCAGGCCACAGAAGTCAGTCTGGTGCTGGTGTGGGCTGGTGGTGGAGTCTGCTGTGAAGTCAGTTCCTTACTTTACTCTTCTCCTGTGAACTGGATGTCTCTCTCCATGCTGGGATACTCTGGCTTGGGGGATGGGTGATGGGAGTAATATGAAATTATATTTCCTACCCTTTTTTCAATGTATCTTTTCTTATTTCTGTGCTCCACCCAGATGCTGTCATCCCTCACCTGAAATTCTTAACTCTTGTGAAGGTATTTTTGTGTATGGATAATTGTTCAAATTGATGTTTCTGGGAGGCAAAGAGTGCTAGAAATTCCTATACCATCAGCTTGCTTTACTCTCTAATTCTCTCCTCTGGTGTGTGTTGTCTGTTGCCAAATACAAATTTTGGTTTATTTTAATTTTATTTGTTGTATTATATTGTTCTAGAGATGCTGTTTAATGCTTCCAAATCTGCCACTTTTCATAGTTTGCTACTCTAGGAAAACATCCATGTTTGTCATTTGCTTCTTAAATATGGTTAGGATAGTTGTTTTAAGCTCTGTGTATAATAATTATAAAACCAGATGTCTCTGTATGTTTCTACTATCTTGCTTTGTCTATTTTTTTGGTTCTTGTTCTTGTGATCTTGTTTACTTATATGCCTGGTGATCTTCAACTCTTTGTGGCTTGTTGCCTTTGTAAAATTATTTAAGTGGCTCTGCCCTCCTCTAGATGGGTTTTCTCTTTTTGTTTCTGGTGGAAAGCATTTGGCCTACATTAAACCAAATGCAGTTTGAGAGTTCCTGGCTCAATCAAACTGTGAGCACTCAAAGTGAAAATCCTCAGGAAGGCATGTTCATGGCCACAGCCTTCCAGGAATTACTTCTTTTCTTTATATCTTTCCTTCACCCACTTTGTTCAGTGCCAAGACCATCTACTTCATGGGTTCCAGAGATTGGGTGAATCTAGATCTGGTTTGCTTGCCTAGTCCTAGGCAGCCCCTGAGTCCTGATCTCTCTCTCTCTCTCTCTCTCTCTCTCTCTCTCTCTCTCTCTCGTGCTGGTGTGACTAGAGTATGGCATGGGTGCATGCTATAGCAGCACAGAACATATCGTGGCTTTAAGGCTCCTTTATTTCAGATCCTGATTCTATATGTCTGGGATAAAGCCTGAGATTCTGCATTTCTGACAAGCTGCCAGATGATGCCAATGCTGCTCGTCCACAGATCATACTTTGAACATCAAGGATGTATAGAACAAGGACTCTTTCATTTAGTAACTTGGCAATATGTGAACAATAGTCAAATTGAGTGATGGGAATTGTGCTATATAAGTTGGGAGAGATTTATGGAACCGAGGGGACTATGTTAGACCATGACCTGACTAGTGAAGGATAGATATGGATGGACAAGGGAATGAAATCCTAATTCAGATCCAGTTTGGGCTACTTGAAGAGAGAAGAAAGGCTATATCTCTAGATTTTATTCATATGGAGTTCTTTTTTTTACAGGGAAAGAGGTTTCCTTCACATATTTTGACCCAGGGGCCCTTCTCAGGATCACCCACCACCTCGGTGGTAAAGGATGCACCTCCATTCTAGGGAGACATAAGTTGAGGTCTTGTGTTATCTGGTGTCACCAAAGCCCCCATCACCTCAGCTAATGGCACTGTGGACTAAGTGTCTAGGCTACACGGAGCTCCATGTATTTATAGGATTAAATAATGAATCTGAAAGGCTCCACATCTTATTAGCTGTGGTCCTGAATGAATTTGCATTAGTATATGCAGCATCCATATCAATGTGTCCTGAATGTTTGCTTCTTTGTACCTTATGGCAGGACATTGAGATCCTCTCCTCAAGATTTCCAAGTGGGTCCAGTCCTATATAAGGAGCATGGGGGTGATGTCATAGGCTCTGGAATTTCTTCTTTGAGCATGGAAATCAACTCATGCTAATGGATACCTGGGGAAACTCCTCTTCATAGCCACAGATTGATTTTGAATCCTAGTTTTGACTCAGACATACCTACTGCACATTTGAGTATGAGTGCTTCATGATTCCACACTCTTGAGGGAATGGCCATGGAGCTACTCAGGACAAGATCATAACGACCTTTATATCCCACTGTGCAGTGAGAATCCCTTGGAAGACTATATAGTGTGAACTTGAGAGTGTCTTTATGTGTTAGGTAGGCTGATAAGGTAGCACAAATGTCAAGAGCTAGGATGATCTACTGGTAGTCAAAGCAAAAAAGCTGGTAGAGACAAATAGGCTGATCTGGGGTCTAGCGACAGACATAGGAGACTCACTAGGCCAGTTGCTACAGGAAGGTGTCATGTACTGGGGACTTTGCATACTCTTCTTTAACCAACACAATAATCCAGCAAGGTACAATGCATTCATATAACAGTCATCTTGGGATCAGAGATGTGAAAGGATTGTGCCAAGGACACAAGTCCAAAAGTTGCAAAGCCTAATTGTGAACATACATCTTTTGAATACGAGTCTCTGGCTCTTGAATACTAAACTACTGTCTTAGTCTGTTTTCTCCCTGAGAAACCCTAGCATTGTTTCAGAAGCTAGGGAGGCTAAGATATTAACCCACCAGTCCCTTCCCCCATTGGTTGAGTTTGCTATTGAAATAAATACCCTTGAGGTGTGAAGCAGACAGGTGCTAGAAACTGCCACAGTGATGGTGAACTCAGTTGGGCTGAAGGGATTGGGGCAGGGTATCTACAGCATTGTCTAAGCTTTCCTTCAGGGAAAACCTAATGTGTGTTCCTAACGTGTGTTTGCTAGATTAGAGCACTGGAGCATCTGGGAGGCATACTCCCTGCTCCACTAATCTAGGTCAGTGACCTGTAGTCCATGATGGGCAGGGTGCCCAGGAGCTGGCCTTGCCCAGGGGAGGCTCCCTTGAGTGGAGAAGCAGCATGCATACAGGCTCTGAAAAGCTAGAGAAGCATACACTGGGGTGTTTTTACCTGGTCTGATATTGGTAGAGAATATGGTGATTGTGAACCAGGAGTAGTTGCAAGCTACACAGGTCTTAGGGGACCCATTCCTTCCTTAGTCTACTTCCTACCTTGAACCTACTGGGGGCTTCCACTCCTAGGAATAACATTCCAGTGTGTCATTTTGTGGCAAAAGAATCCAGTCATCAGCCCTGGGGCAGTCCCATAATGTTTCTTCCCTCAAACTCAGTGTTGATGACTATATTTCCTGGTTGTTGCTCTTAAGAGCTTACTTAGCATGCCCTACTTTTTCAGGGTGAATGGGCAAGTCACAGTCATACTTAGTTGACATTTACATAAAGACTCACTGAATCTCTGCACCAGGAACCAGAAAATATTCAGCGTCAGGCAGTCCCAACCCAAGTGAGGTAGAACCTCCTTCCTTCCCTATGTGTATAAAAAGCTTGGAACCTGTTGGATTCAGTCAGAGAACCTAAGTCTGGAAGAAGCCATAGTCCATAATAACAGATTACAGGTGTAGTCTGAAGCCATGAAACCTGCTGATCTTTGATCTTCTCTTGCTTCTGGGGAGTCCTAGACAGCTTTCCAGAGCCCTTGGATGCAGCTAGAACCTTTACTTTGGATCCAGGGGGAAAAGCATCTCTTGGACAAAGGTAATTTGAGCTCAGAAGGCATGTGTCTAAGCTTTCCTTTGGGGAAGACCTAATGTGCATCTACTAGCTCAGAGTACTGGAGCATCTGGTAGGTAGACTCCCCTCCCGACCAATCTAGGGCAGTGATCTAGAGTCCATGATGGACTTCTTTCACTGCTGTCCTTGGGGAGCCTTGGGGGACCTTGGTGGAAGGCACAGGATACTGGAGGAGCTAGGGCTACTTCCAAGAGTACAGGTGATGATTTGCTTACTTCCTGTCCATGGATAACTGTTGAATCAGGCACTGAGGATCCTGAGGCAGGGAGGGATATGAACAACTGGCTCTCACTGTGGGGGAGCTTGTGACCTTCTTAGGGAACTTTCCTGGTGCCCTAACCAGAAGCCCAGGAACAGATGACTCCTGACAATCAAAATGCCTAATGGAACTTGTGGATGTCCGTGTGCAAGATCCTTAGGGATGCCTCTTTGGATGAAGAATGGGGGAAGATGGGGGTCAGAGAGGCCGATTTTCTGACAGTTATTTAGTAGCCAGGATAAGTGACTTGAAGACAGGATAAGTGGTGACTCACTAGATATGTGGGAGGCTAGAATGGAGATAGATGCACACTCTCCTCTCCCTTCCTTTAAATCCAGAGACTTGGTGCACTGAACAGTGCCTGAGGTGGTGCTCTGGAACCTCCTAACAATCACAGATGTGATGGATGGAGGGCATCCCAAGGCCACTGTAGTCTGAAGAACCAGGACTACCAGTCATGATAGAGATGGGAGTTTCCATTTGGGGTTTTCTGGCCTTGGAAAACCCCCTCCTTAGTCTCAGATGTGCATCTGGGACAGGAGCTTGGAGGCAGCTTTCTTAGAAGAATTTTTACACAAAATTCTGGGGTTGGGAAGGGGAGAGAACAGGATGACATGTTCTCTTCTTCTCTTTTCCACAAGACCTGCTGCTGACAACCTCCTCTCCATCGTCTGATTTACCTTGTCTTCTTCACAGGAAGCTCTGAAGCCAACATGGCCACCCCCCAAGGTGAGTGGTGAATCACAAACCAGCTTGGAAATATCTCCATCCTGCCTCACCAAAGATAATACAGTACAAGGGCCCCTATCATTTACTTAGCTACAGATGCATTTGCTCTTGCTAATATACTCAGATCATAAAACGTGCATTTGAAAATCTCAGAGCATTTAGATCTTTTCTTATTATGTATATTTGGAATTTATTTACTTTGTTAAACAGCATAAAGAAAAAAAACAAGAAACTGATGACAAATTTAAATATTTTTGGCTTTGTTACTACCCAGAGAGTATACATTAGAAACAGACAAGTCACTGATATCCCTAGAAAAAAGACAAACCTTGAAAATCTCTTGGGGAGTATAAATGCAGGTAGATTCTTACAGATTCTTTGATCCACAAACCAGCTCCTGGCTTATTTCCCCTCCCTTTCTCCTTATAGCCACTCTTTCTCTGAGCAGTGAGCCTACCCCTAAGGATTCAGAAGTCATTATGACCAGGATGCAGCTAGAGTCCTGAAGTTTATAATAACCTTATATGTGTTTTGTGCTTTTCTGTCTTCTGGCAGCGGTAGACTATTCCAGAATCTTTGGTGTTCATGATTCTCTACAGATGGTGTGGGTCCTGAATGGAAATTCTTTAATAACAACTCCTTTTAACAACAATGTCAGTCCTGGTGAGTGACAATCAAAGCCACTTTTTCTTCTTAAAGGGGCACCAGTTCCACTGGAGATGGGGCTGAGCTTGCATGAGCTTACATGCCTTCGGCCTGTCCTGCTTCTGGGACCAATGTCCACAGGAAGGGCAAGCAAGGACAAGATGGTTCCCTTCCACAGAGGAAACCCTGCACCTAGAAATGAGGGGATGAGGGGTTGGCAGCCCTTCTTACCAAGAGAAAATGTCTTCAGATAAGGAGGGATTGTCCACTCAAACAGTATTTGACCTTCTTATTGGAGTTTTTCTCCTTTAAATTTCAACCATTGCTACCTATGTCCTCAGAATCAAACTTGATCATCTTTCCACTATACACTTTCCTAATTCGGTGTCCTCTCTTCTAATATTGGGGATATTCCTTCCTCCCATCAAAAGTCAATCTATCTCAGCTTCTTTCGCTCTTCTAGGACTTCAATGTTTGATTTAATTCTTCTCTTCCCTGTATATTCCACCTTTGTCTATCTACTGGATCCTTTCCATCACTGGTATACGTGCTCTAATATAATATTGCTAAGTTTAATAGAAATTCCACCTTCTCTTGATCCCCACATTCCATTCCTACTTCCACTCTTTTTTCCCATATGCTAGTCTCAATACAGTTCTATGTACCAGTCATAGCCAAACTTCATGGAAGAGCTGGCTACATAACTTGTCTCTACTTCACCTTCTGTTCATGTTTGCATCAAACAACATGACTTCTGAACTGTTCTCTCAAGTTCCTCTTCCCAAGGTCACCAGATACACTCTCTGTCCTCACATTATTTGGTTCCTCAGCTGCAGTCAGCATAATTGGTAATTCTTTCTTTCTTGAACACCCTCCATCTTCTCCTTCTGTAGGAACATTCCCTTGTGGTTCACTGGCTTCTCTTTGGCATTCTCCTTTCTGACTTGACTTTTTCTGTACAATCTACAAATACTGGAGGTCCTCAGATCTCAGTCTGCAATCATTGTGCAACCCCACTGAAGGGATTGGGAGCTGGTCTCTTGGATTTATGGATCCAATGCCTCTATCACTCTGGCATTTATGCTTCCAACCAGAAGACCCTCTGAAAAATTTACCCATGTCCTCTTGATATCCTCTCAGACATCTCTAACTTCATCTATCCCAAGCAGAACTATGGACCTGACCTCTCAAAACTGCTGATCAGCCCAGTCTTCCCTATCTCCATTAGTGGCACTACCATTACCTGTTTCCTCCAGCGAGAAATGCAAGAGACATCCGTGATTCAATCTCTGTCCAGTCCAACAGCAAAGACTGATGAATCTGTGTGCAAAATATGACTTATTTCTAAGATAATATCATGTCTCACCTGGACCACTGCCATTGTCTCCTCACTGCCCTCCTTCCCACCTCATTTGTGTAGCCTCTCATCCACTCTCTACAAAGCATTAAGAGTGACCATTTGGACTATGTTAATTGAACAGTGTCTTTCCTATGTGTTTGTGTTTTAGGGGTGGGAAGTGGGGGCTAGTGGGGACACCTCAGGGACACCAGTCTTCTTTCAGAGCTACACAGGGGCCTTTACCCATCCTTTCTCCATAACACTCTCCCTCCAGACCCCCTCCATCATCCTATTCCCATGTCTTCATATACTAGTTTCCTCTTAACTTTCAGATCTTGGTTTGCATTTTACCTCTACAGAGAGGTCTTTCTTGACTCTTCTATGTAAATTTGGTCTCCTACTGTCTCAGGCTTTGGTTCTTCCCTCAAAGCAGATCTTGCAATTTATTGTGGTTCTGTCATTTCTCTGCTTACATCTTTTGGTCTCATCTTCCATAGGGGGAATGACAATGTCTCTCTTATCCTCATCTAAATCTCTGTGTGCTCACATGCATCCTTGTCCCGAGTCGGCATTCAATAAAGAGTTGACTGGAGAATTCTCAGCCCGCTGCCCAGAAGGATAGAAGCAGAACACCCAGGCTCCTGGGCTAAATTAGTTGGGAATTAAATTTAGCTGATAGTGACAGGAAACCCACATAACTGGGACTTAACTAAGAAGTTTACTTAAAAAAAAAAAAAAGTTTATTTCTTTCTCATGAAAAAGAAGCCCGAGCAGGCAGGCTGAGGTTGGTATGGTGGCACCGTGATGCTCCCATGGTCCAAGTATTCTAGCTTTCTGCTTTACCAAGCTCAAGTTCTCCTCAACCATCATCCACATATTTGAGGCAGGCAGTAAGAAGACACAATGTGTAAGAAAGGAGCTTCTCCCAGATGAGTCAACTCCTTTTAAAGAACATTCTTAGAAGCCCCACACAACACTTCCATGTTTATCTAGTGGACTACAAGTTCAGCATATGATAAAATTTAGCTGCAAATGTGGTGGGGAATTTTATTTTTATTTTGGAGATGCAGTGTGCCCTGGTAACATCTGGGGTTCTGATATTAAGTAAGTGAAAGAAATGGGCTTCAGATAATGATGTAGGGTCTCAGCTACATGATGAATAGGAAGAGGCTTCTGGGGGAGTCCTGGCTGCTCAGTGTCCCCCTCACTGGGAGGAGTAATGTCAGGTCAGAAGGACTGTCCTTTCTGCTCCTGGAGCCTGACACCTGTTTCCATTTTTCCTTGTGTTTCCAGTCAGTCTTGATTTAATGACATGTATGGACAAAGAATTCCATGATGCAGGAAAAGGCAATCCAGTTTACTTGGGAATCAAGAACAACCATCTTTGTCTTTTCTGTGCAGAAATTCAGGGCCAGCCAACTTTACAGCTTAAGGTGAGTGGTTGTACAGCTAATGAGAGAAGCCCTGTGAGATGTACTTTTTTATTTCATTTAACGTATCACTGAACAAAAATAACATTTTTTCAATCCTGGATTGTTCAATTCTTGGCTGTCCCCCAAGTCAATAAATGCTGCTTTTGGTGTGTGTGTAACACTCATTTTAATGTGAAAACATTCTCCAAAAACCAGAGAATACACCCACGAGAATGCTTCAGAAAGGCCAAAGAATGGTGGTTTCTCCATTCTCAGTTTTCTTTAACTACCTCCCAGAAATCCCCCACGATGCTGGGCTGCTCGCACTTAAACAAAGGCCACTGTACGACAGAGGAGACAAGGGGGAGATTGTTAGTCTGGATTTTGTGGATTATATGCCTAGGGTTCCTGTCCTGAAGGTAGCATTTATAGTTATGAAGCAAATCTTTTTGGTTATGATGAAAGCTTTAAGATCTAAACCCACTCGGAGGCTGGGAATCTTGTGAGACGCCCACACCTGTGGGTGGGTGCCCACCAAGAGCACCCACAAAAGAGACTTAAACCTCTCTCTGTTCTCAGGGAAGACAGTGCTGTCTCAGAGAATCAGAAGCACCTTGTATCATGGGATCCTGGGGTAGAGCCAAGCTATTAGGAGCCAGTGGGTTGCCTCTTCTGACACCTTGTGTCCTTTCATCTGGTTGTGTCCCTGGTCCCTGGCCCTCCCTTTGGGGAAAGTGGTCACTCTCAAGGGCTATGTTAGTTTAGACCCTTTCTCTCAGTAATCCTCTCTAATAAACCTTTTTCCTAATCCTAGGAGAAAAATATCATGGATGTACACAACAAGAAGAAAGCACAGAAGCCTTTTCTCTTTTTCCATAATAAGGAGGGCTCCACCTCCACTTTTCAGTCCGTCTCCTACCCTGACTGGTTCATAGCGACTTCCAAAATAGCAGGACAGCCTGTCATTCTCACCAAGGAGAGGGGCAAAGATTACATCACTAACTTCTATCTAGAGCCTCAGGACTAAATTCAGCCTGGGCTGTGGGTAACTGATTCCAGGAAAGAGGATCAAGCAATCAGAGAATCTTCCATTCGGAGACACAGTAGGTCATCTTCATAGACTAACATGCACTGATGCCCATCCGTAGCCCCACCTCATTCTCGTCACCCAAATTTTGTGCACCATGTTTCCTCATATGAACATCACCCCAGTATGAAACCTGAATCACTTTTTATTCTTTCCTGATCTTGTCCCACTATCCACTTAGTTGCCAAGTCCAGTTAAGTCAACATCCCAAATGCTTCTTACGCACACCCCTCTCTATACCTATTCCTTCTGACAACCTATGGCCTAGAGATGCGAGTTCCAAACACTTTTGTTCATACAACCCTATCAATAAAAGAGTATTATTTGTTAATTCTCTGCATGTATTATGATATGTATTCCCAAAGATGAATCTAAAGTTTCTAGTTAAGTAATCTTTATTCCCCATGTGGGACTCGAACTCATGACCCTGAGATCAAGAGTCACGTACTCTTCAAACTGAGCCAGCCAGGCCCCCCACCAAAGAGGAATCTAAGGATAAATGTGAAATACAAATGAATGGGAAGCTGTGAGCTGTACATTTATGATGTAGCCACTTTTCTGTGTGTACATATGTATGCTTCCATTAAAAGTTCGCTTTTAAAAAGAAAACAGATAAAGGTGAAATAAAAAATTTAAATGTCTTGATCATCATAACAGATTCATAATGTCATTAGTTAATAATTTGACATGTAATACATACTTTGATTAAGATTAATTATTTACCGTAGTGAATTTAAATCAACCAGTATTTCAAAGAATCACTTAACAAGGGTGCCTGGGTGGCTCAGTTAAGTGTCTGGCTCTTGGTTTTGGTCATGATCTTACAGTTCACGAGTTCGAGCCCCGTGTCGGGCTATGCTCTAGCAGTGCAGAGCCTGCTTGGGATTCTGTCTCCCTCTCTCTCTGCGTCTCCCCTGCTTGCTCTCTGTCTTTCTCTCAAAGACAAACAAACAAACAAACAAAAACCAAAAAACAAACTGCCCATGGTTCTGAGCTAATCCTTGAATCCCCTCTTACATCCTGGTGGCATGCCTCTTACTCCAGTCAATGCTGTGCAACCAGCTCGGAGAAGGTATAAATAACCTGACAGCATGTTATCTCAGCTACACCAAGCATCTGTCTCTCTCTGCTCGGAGGCTCCTAGGACACCATGGGGAAAGACTTGTAGGAACCCACTTGGCACTCACACATGTACACGCTCGGAAGTAAGAGGGAGCAGCCCCACGAGGAACCCTTGACCGTCGTGGGGAGGTTGTGGGAGTAGATGGGAACATGCTACTCGCTGTGACCATTCAAGTGTACAATTCTGAGATGCATTCTACCTGCACAGTACCTCGGAGGGTCCCAGTAGGATTGAGTCATTGTCACCCATGGCAGTGCTGAGCTCAAGAACATAGCCTTGCATTGGCTTGCCTCATTTCCCTGCTTCAGTTTCTTCAGGCCCCAATCCTGTTCCCTGGGGTCACTTCTCATTATCGGAATGCAAGCCCTTGTCTCAGGTGCTGCTTTCTGGTGTTAACCCAGGGTAAGGCAGATTCGGTCAAGGCGAGCTTCTTTCGTCTACCAGCTACTCCCAACGCATTGGATTTCTTCCCTCCATGCCTCTGCGCGTGCTTTTGCAAACATCTTAAACACTGTCATCTCTGTGTATCTTATCCGCCCCTTATGTCTTCCTAACATCCTACATCTGTCTAAAGTGTTCAGAAGCCACTCCTCATTCTCCCAACGAAATACAACATCTCTTTTCTGAGGTCTATAGCACTTTACCTTATCCTGAGACATTTCTTTTGTTAGACTCATGCTGGAGTTTTTTTCCTTGTCTTGGCCTCTTTTCTCTCTTTTCAGCCAAATTCTAGGTACATTAGAAGGCAGAGATTGTATCTTTGAGAACCCTATACTCCTTGGGTGCCAGATCTTGCCTCCTACATGGCAGTTGTTGAAACAAATGAATTCTCACTGCATGTACTAACGTCTTCCATTGATACTCAAGTGTGTCAGAGTGGAGTTTGCTCGATCAAGGCAGAAACAGCCCTAACTGCAATAAGGGCACGAGGAACATCAAAGCTCCTCAGAGAAGGTGGGGAAGGACAGCACAGAAAGGCTGACTAGGAGCCTCCCTGTCTCAACTTTTCCTCCTCTTGTGCCAGTCTGACCTTGGGGGACTGTAATGATGTCAGGATATCCTCTCAGGAGAGGGTGGATATAGAAACAAAGCACAGCCCAGAGCTTCCCAGAGAGACTCCAGCCAATGCCCACTGGCATCTTCTTCTTGGATTTTGTCCAAACCCTCACCAATGTACATTCATGCACTCATAAACCATTTGGGGGCACAGGAAAAGGACACCAGGGGAATCCAGTGTTTTGGTTTTTTTCTCTGACAAGGTCAGGGCGCAGCACCAGATGACCCCAGGGATGACTATGAGAGACTTGTGGCAGCAATCAAATGGACATATAGAAAGCAAGTTTTCTGAGAAGGGTAATGCAAGGAATGTGAGTTCTGTAGGTAGCTGAATGAGTAGAAAGAAAAGTAGATAGTGATGAAACAAAAACAATGTAACCCTAGGCTGTGCTTATAAATATTAGCTTCTCAGAAATCCCAAGAGCACTGGACATGAGCAGGGGGTAGATGGCCAGCCCGCCTACACTCTTCTCTCTGAAAGAGGAGGTGAGGAAGTGGTGGTGGTGAAGGAGGAGGAGGAGGAGGGGGAGGGGGAGGAGGAGGAGGAAGAGGAGGGGGAGGAGGAGGAGGAGGAACCATAGAAGGAGCCAAGAGGTATTCTCAGATATTTTACTGGCTCTCTTAGTTCCAGGGAGGTTTTAGTCTATTTGGGCTACTGTAACAAAATTCCATACACTAGGAGGCTTAACAAACATGATGTCTCGCAGCTCTGGAGGCTGGAAGTCTGATATGAGGGTGCCAGCACAGTCAGGTGAGGGCCCTTGGCAGGTTGCAGACTTCTCATTGTGTCCTCACATGGTAGAAGGGGAGAGGAAGGTCTCCTAGGCCTCTCTTAAATGGCTATTGGTCTCATTCATGAGGGCGCTGCCCTCATGATCTAATCACCTCCCAAAGGCCCCACCTCTTAATCTGATCACACTGGGCATTAGGATTACACCATAGGAATTTTGAAGGACTCAGACATGCCTATTCCCACACCCATCTTCTCCTTCTCAGTTACTCAAGACAGAAACCTAGGAGCCGTCCTTGATTCCTCCTTTCCTTGGAACCCTACCTCTAATTCATGAAGTCTGTCTCCAAAGAAGGCTACCTTCAAAAGACATCTCCAGTACACCCGTCTCTCTTCAACTTCTCTGCCACTCACCACTCCATACCAAGTAGCAGTGATAGCTCACTGGTGCTATAAATCAGACTCCTGACTCGTGAGTTCCGCCTGCTCCTCCCTCTGCCCATTCAGTCTGGTCTCCACAAGCTGGACAGGGTTATCTCCATAAATGGAAATCTAAGCTATGTAGTTTCAATGTTTACCCCTTCAATGCTTCCATTTGCACTTATAAGGAAATGCAAATTCCCTACCATATTTTTAGGGTTGCCTGGATGGCCTGACCCCTGTGTCCAACCCCTCTTCCAGGTAATTCTCTTTCCATCTCTATTCTCAGTCATGCCAATCTTTCAGTTCCTTGAACCTGCCAAATTCTTTACAGCCTCAGGACCTTTGCATATGATGTGCTCGTGCACATCCTTATACCTGTATCGTTTTACTCTGATTCTCTGCCTTTCTGGCTCCTTCAAGTCAGTTCTTTATATGTCACCTTCTCAGAGAAGCCTTCCTTGACCACCATGTCTGAAGTAAGCCCCTTCTTCTACCTCCTGAATTTTCTATCTCTCGTTTTTGACTGTTTATCCTTCACACAATTTCTTTATCTTTCTTTATCTCTACTTCCTCCTTATGTACATTACAGTCCTTGATTGCAGGGAAGTAACGTTTGTCTAGTTTACCACTATATCCCCAGTCCCTAGCACAGTGTTTGTGTTTAATAAATATATGTTGAATAAATACATTGCTAATACATTAATTAGTGAATGAATGATTGAGGACCTGCCTTCCTTCCCAGGCAGCCTGCCCTCCTTCGTGAGATTGGCCTCATTTAGAATAAAACCTACCTTCCTGTTCCTACATCATAGAATGTCATGGAAAAAGGAGCTCCCATGTCCACAGAGTCCTTCAGCTTTGTGAAGACTGCTTCTGTTGCCTTCTTTAACCTCTCTTTGTCCTCTGATGTAATCCACCAAAGAGGGAGAACAGTTCTTCCTCACTCCTGATGTCTCCTGCCATCACACACCTGTTCTCTGCTCTCCCTCCCTCCCTCCCTCTCTCTACCCAAGTGGAGGCAAGACCATATGTCCTAGTGCACACCTACTGTCCTGGTGTAATTGCCAGTACCACTGCCTTTCCCTTTCAAAAGTGCCATATTTTATGATAAATTATGTGGTCACCCTACTTATTAGAAAAAGGGATAGTGTGGCTCAGTTGCTATTTGCCTACTTTCCACTGGGAACCAACTGAATTGAAGAAAGCATCCTTATAGATGTGAAATGACAGAAACATTTTGTGGAACTGTCCTGAGTCAGGTGCCTGGACCCTGTTCTATCTGAACATGGAAGCTCCCTGGTGTCAGGGAGAATACTTCCTCAGGCTGAATGAAGGAATTCTGGTGAGGAGCCCCTCCACCTGACAGGTCCCCAGCTTCTCAGAGTCCAGGGAAGGTCACCCCTGTGAGCATCCTGGTCCTTAAAAACAGATTGAAAATCCCTCTGTTAGGAATCCAGAAGATAGAGGCACTTTCTCCAAGACTGAGACTCTAGCTTTTCCCAGTAATCTCTTTTCAGTTCCCAGTGTCTGGAAAGTGTGGGCTTTTCTAGACATTTGTGAAGACGGAAGACTCTTCTAGCATTCCCTATGCCAGCAGAGCTTGAAGGGACTGTGGGGTGATATTCTTCAGAAGCAGTTGGTGGAAACTCCCACCCCAGCTCAGAACTTTGGGATATATAGGAGGGTGGAAGATAATCCCAGACGTCCTCAAGACTCATGTAAAGAAGATGGGGTTGGCAGAAGGCTTGGAACCATGAGATTTTTCTCTAAGGGAGCAATGGGTCAAGTGATGAGATGCTGAATCCCAAAAAGAGTTTGAGCCTGGGAGTTACTTAAGTCCTTCGGACAGTGGGTAGAGGCAGGGTGACACCAATAGTCATATCCTCCCCGACAGCCACACACACCCACCTACTGAAATCTGATGAAACCAGACTACACCCAAGAGTGTGGGAACACCTTCCCTGCAGATCCAAAGCCAGTGCCCCACAGAGGGGGCTGT